AATCCTCACAACTGGACCAATAAGCAACATCAAGATAAATGAAGAGAAGATTGAAAGAGTTAGGGGTTTCATTTTACTTGATTCATAATCAACACCCATGAAAGCAGCAGTCAAGAAATAAGATGACATATTGCACTGGGCAAATCTGCTACAAAAGATCTCTTTTGTAATTTTGAAGACTGAGGTGTGCCTGACCCAAGCAAGCCATGGTATTTTCATTTGCCTCATATTCATGTGAGAGCAGGATAATGAATAAGGAGATCCAAGAGGAATTGATGCATTTGAGTTGTGGTATTGGCAAAGAATATTGAATGTCCCATGGTCTGCCAGAAGACCGAACAAATCTGTTTTAGAGGAAGTACAGTCACAATGCTCCTTAAGAAGAAAGAATGGCAGGATGTCATCTGTCATATTTTGGTGATACTGTCAGAAGGGACCAGTCCCTGGAGAAGGCTATGATACTGAGTAAAGTGGAGAGTCAGCGAAAAAGGACAGTGGCTGCAACCACGGGCTCAATCGTAGCAACAATTGTGAGGATGGTGTAGGACCAAGTGTTTGTTCTGTTGCACATGGGGTGGCTCCAGGTCGAAATCAACTCAGCTGCACCTAACAACGGTACGTGAATGTTTTTAATTTTCGTAGATTTTAGTAGTTGCCCAAATACTTTATATTCTTGTATCAGAATCTAAAAGCATCTATTTCCCCACAGTCAGCCAATTCCATTACATTATAAAACTATATAATTTTTGGTGATCTCATGAGTATAAAAGGATATTTTGTGTATCAGTATACATTTCTCTAGATATGGTTAGGTGAACATGTTTTTTGTCTTATGTTTACTGGCCATTTATATTTCCTTTTCTGTTCTTAGACTTTGCCCATTTTATACTGAGTCTTTGTTTCCTGTAGATTTTTATTAGTTCTCTATATGTTCTATGTATCTTTTATCTATTATCTCTATTTCAAGTATTACTTCCAGTCTTCGTTTTATTTTAGCTTTGCTTATTGTGTTCTTTGTCTTACAAAAGGTTTTTATTTTAACTTTGATATTATTAAATTTCCTTTTAGCTTTTGACTTTTAAAAGAAAAATCTTTAAAAAAAAAAAAAAACCCCAAAGGAGGTCGCTATGAGTCAGAGTTGACTCAATGGCATGAATTTGGTTAGGTTTTATATATAATTTCCATATATATATATATGTCTTTTACTGTCTCACTACTACACTTTGTTAATTTTTTCAATGTGTAATTTAATCTTTTCTTTCAGAAAACTTCCTATTGAACAATTCTATTATTTGACACAGAACAAGAAAAGTGACATCTATGGAAATGATTGTTTGTAAGTTTGGGAGTTCTTTATATATATATATTACATATATATATGAGACCGAATAACGTTTTTAAGTGGAAATAAGTTATATGATAAATAAAAAGACTTGAAATGAGAATTTTTAGAGAAACAAAATTGTTATTTTTTTTAATAAAGATCATTAAACCAGAATCCAAGATCAATCAAAACCAAGCCAACCAAAACAAACCCACTAATAATTTGTGACATTTAAATAAGCCAAGAAAAAAATATAAAATATGAACAAGTAATGTTGGAAGGAATTTACACAGGTCATGTTGGTCTATTTCCCTACCTTTGACCTACTACCTCAACCCTAGTATACAAGAATTCATAACATTTTTTTAAAGGTTCATTGAAAATTTCACAGTGGCCCTCAAAAATTTTTTTAATCAAAAATTTATTAGAGCAGTTTGTTATGACATCTACAAAGAAGTCCTAATAAAATTACTCCCTTAGTCTTCTCAGTTTTGAATAAGGAATAATAGCTTACTATCATTGTAATAAGCTACTGCTATCAAGTCAATTCCAACCCTATGGGACATAGGCAACCCTATGGAACAGAGTAGAACTGCCCCACAAGTTTCTAAAACTGTAAGTCTTTGTGGAAACAGACTGACATCTTTCTCCTGCAGAGCAGCTGGTGGGTTTGAAATGTTGACCTGTCAGTTGGCAGCTGAGTTCCTAACTACTGTGTCACCAGGGCTCCTTGAATAAGGAATAAACTAAACCCATTGCCATCAAGTAGCATCTGTAAATCTTTACAGAAGCAGATTGTCTCATCTTCTTCCCAGAGAGTAGCTGGTGGGTTTGAATTGTTGACCTTCTGGTTAGCAGCCAAATGCCTTACCCACTGGCCCAACAGAGCTCCTTTGAATAAGGAAGACTGGTTGTTAATTTATTCTTTGCTCATGTTGTTGTTGTTATGTGCCATCGAGTTGGACCCAACTCATAGCAGCCCCTCCTTGGGTTTCCGAGGCAGTATCACTGCGGAAGTAGATTGCCTAACCTGCCTTCCGAGGAGTGGCTGGTGGGTTTGAACCGCCAGCCTTCTGGTTAGCAGTCAAGTGCCTTAGGCACTGTGCTACCAGAGCTCCTTTTTTGCTTATAGTGGTATTATTTTCCAGTATATTGAATTATTTTTTACTCATATGTATTAAAAATAAAAACTTACTTTTAATTTTCAGATGAAGATAAAACACTGATACTATTGAAGTAACAATGAAAATATCACTTCTAATAGTTAGAATTGTTACCCATTGCCATCGAGTAGATTTTGACTTGTAAATAAACAAAAACTCACTGCCATCAAGTCCATTCCAACTCATAGCCACCCCCTGGGTTTCTGAGGCAGTAAATCTTTATGCAGAGTGGCTAGTGGGTATGAACTTCCTACCTTCTGGTTAGCAGTCAAACGCCTACCCAGCAGAGCTCCTTTTGACTCATAAGTAGCCTGTAAGACAGTGTACAACTGCACCATAGGGTTTCCAAGGCTATAAAACTTTATGGAAACAGATGGCCACATCTTTCTCTTGCAGGACTGGGCTGGTGAGTTCAAACTGTAGACCTTTTTTTCTTTCAGTCAGCAGCTGAGCATTTTAACCCACTGCACGTTTTTTGAGTTTTATTAATAGGTTGTTGTTGTTGTTGTTATGTGCCATCGAGTCATCTCCAACTCTTAGCGACCCATCCACGGGTTTCTGAGGCGGTATCACTACGGAAGTAGATAGCCCAGTCTTCCTTCTGAGGAGTGGCTGGTAGGTTTGAACCTCCAGTCTTCTGGTTAGCAGTCAAATGCCTTAGGCACTATGCCACCAGAGCTCCCATATTAATAGGTAAGAAGTTATATAGAGTTGGGCCACTAGAGGGAGCCAAAAAGACATGAAATTTGTCATTGCTAGACCATATGCCTGGAGCTCTGCTGGCGTAGTGCCTAAGGCATTTGACTGCTAACCGGAAGACTGGGGGTTCAAACCTACTAGCTACTCCTCAGAAGGAAGATTGGGTAATCTACTTCCATAGAGATACTGCCTCGGAAGCCCAAGGAGGAGTTGCTTTGAGTCGAATTGACACTAAGGCAGTGAGATTTTGTATTTTTTTTTTGGTAGACTATATGTAAGGAGCACCAGCCACTCCTCGGAAGGAAGGTTGGGCAATCCTACTTCCGTAGTGATACTGCCTCGGAAACCCAAGGAGGGGTCGCTATGAGTTGGGGCCGGCTTGACGGCACATAACAACAACAACAACACGACATATGTAAGGAGCCCTGGTGGTGCAGTGGTTAAGCCCCCCTCCACTGTTAATGGAGAAAGTCCGCCATTCAAACCCATCAGCTTTCTCCACAAAAGAAAGATGTGGCATTTTGAGATTAGTGAAATTTGCAAACCAGATAAGGACCAGTTCAGGTTAAAGAAATGATATATCTGAGCATTTGTTGATTTCTTTGAGTTTTTTTTTAAAAAAAAAATAATAATTTTTTTTTTCATTTTTGGATCAAATCAATTTTAGACATATTGTCAATATCATAGCTAAATTTGTCACTTTAGAATAATTTTATACACCAATTTAATGCTTTATATGTAGTAGCCAATCTAGTAACTCTAGATGTCTTGGATTGCTATATTCATTGCCTCCCCAGCCCCCAACACTACCAGAAATACATCTGGAAGACAGGACGTGCTGTTTTTAGTTCCAAGCCCACAAGCTCAGAGTCTAAATAAATATATAAACCTTTAATGGTTCATGTGAATTGTGTGTTAATAATATATTATAGGATAATAAAATTGTATAGCTTATATACCAGTTTCCTCTAGCTAGAAGGAACTTATAATAAAATTAAACAATATATTCAATTTTACTGATTTTTACTATGAAGCCGATAACATTCTGTTCCTTCTTCATGTCTGAGACCTCAGAATCTTCTTTCCAAAAGCTAAAATTCATTATTAAAATCACATGTAAACGGTTGGTTGTTCTTGTCAAGTATAGACTTTGTTCCAGGGCTGCAGTATAATTTCTTGGCAAAGCTCAGAGTAATTAGTAAACACAGCCTGGGAATGAACTCGTTCAGAAAAAGCATGCTTCCAGGAATTTGGACAGTTTTACTGCAGCCTCTCCATTGACTGGCAGCATTTAATATCACGGGGCATCAGCAATTTGGGCAAAGGGAGAAAGCACACGCAGTACTTACATCTCTGCTCTAACCAGGTCACACTCACATCACTTTACGTCATGTAATTGCATCACAGGTGTGGTGCCAGGCTCGGTCAGAGCACTCTGGCTGCTGCCCAAGTATGAAAGTGAATGTCAGTGAGAACCAGAGCACTTTTATCATTTGTAGTTGGCCCCTGTACCTTCACTACCAATAAAAGCGTGGTGAGTAGGACAGAGTTAGAATAAATGGAATAGGAAATAAATCGATCAATAGACAACTTAGATATGGAAATAATCAGATTTTTCTGTCTCGTCAGTATTTATTATCAGAAGATCAATCACAAATTTTATCTTAATGACACTGTAGTTTGAAAATGGGATACATCTTTATTTTTAAGCAACTTTATAATAGAAATATATACTTTTTAAAATCCTTGTTTCCTATTTCTGTTCTAGGATTCCCAAACCACCTAGTGCTATGGTAGAGTAAGTATACAACTTAAATTTCTTTCTATGTTATAATCAAGAAAAAAAAAAATTGATATATTCTAGGTCTTAGAATGTATGAGGACAAATGAGACTTCATGAAAGCTCTTTTTTTTTTGTTTAAACAATTGGGAGGAGAGGCTGGTACAAGTCCAAGGTAACAGTATTATTGATTTACTCCAATTATATCTCTTGCCAATCTTTTGTTTTTTTCCTAATATTTTGTTTTAGAACAGTTTTGGAGTTATAAAATTTTTGAGACAATAGTACAGAGAGTTTCTGTGTACCCCATACCATTTCCCCTGTTAACATCTTAGATTAACATGGTACATTTCTCACAACTAATGGATCAATCTTAATACATTATTGCTAATTTAAATGCACATTTTATTATTCCCTGAGTTTTTCCCTAATGTTCTTTTTTTCTGGTCCAGAGCCCCATCTAGAATACTGTATGACATTCAATATAATGTTTGATTTAAGGAATCCTTCCATCTCTCTTGGTTGTAACAATTCCTCAGATTTTCCTTATTTATGGATGGCCTGGGCAGTTTTCAGAATTATTAGTCAAGTATTTGTAGACTATCCCTCAACTAGGATTTGTCTGATGTATTTCTCATGATTAGACTGAGGTAATGGGTTTTAGGAGGAAGACTACAGAGGAAAAGTGTGATTTTCCTCATGTCATATCAAGGGTACATACTACCGGCATAACTTAGCACTGTTGATGTTGACCTTGACCATCTGGCTCTGACTGAGGTAGTATTTAATAGGTTTCTCCACTATAAAGTTACTCTTTGTTTCCCACTTGCTGCAGTGTATTCTTTGGAAGAAGTCACTATGCACAGCCACACTTAAGGAATCTGGAGTTAGGTTCCACCTCCTTGAGGAAGAATACCTACATAAATTATTTGGAATTCTTCTGCATAGGAGATATGTCTGCTGATCTCCTCCATTTACTTATTTATTCAATCATATATTCCTATGACTATGAGCTCATACATATTTATTTATACTTGGGTTTACATAGGAGCTCTGGTGGGATAGTGCCTAAGGCACATGACTGATAACGAGAAGGCTGGCGGTTCAAACCCATCAGCCACTCCTCGGAAGGAAGGTTGGGCAATCTACCTCTGTAGTGATACAGCCTCGGAAACCGAGGAGGGCTCTCTGTGAGGGCTCTCTGTGAGTTGGATCTGACGCAATGGCAGTGAGTTTGGTTTTTGGTTACAACCCGATACCACTGTACTGTGTTGTTCAAGGCAGTCACTGGGGGTTCTTTCAGCTGGCTCCTAAATCCCTTTGTCATACCCCTCGTTGTGAGACATTTTTTTTTTAGCACTTTCTTAATTTTCAGTACTACAGAATGCTCCAGGCTTATCTAGTATATTTCCTGTCTTAGTGCTAGAATCAACCTTTTCTCTAAAAAGCCCTGGTTCCTTTTACAGGAGAATAATATTAGAAACCAAGATCTGGGTACTTGGTGCACTCAGGGCTCCTGGAGTACTCTACCAATCTTAACTGAAAATAGTAAGGTGAATTTTAAAAACTGAGTTAAAAGAAAATACATGCTCAAAAGCATATTAATGGTCAGCCCTAGTGTTTTTGTTTGTTTGTATGTTTAAAAACTATGTCAGCTTTTCAAATTATTTTCTTAGCAAGATGAAAAGTAAAACCTTTTTTTATTGGGTTATTTTCTCAATTTCATGTTTTTGCCTGTAGCCCATTAAGCCCCAAAGTCTCTTCCTTTGACCTGAACTCCTCAAATACCCCCTTCAATGAGATGTGTGGCATCGTGGTGAAAAATATAGGGCAAATTGAGTACAGATGCAGCCCATGCCATTAGCTGAATGATTCATAAAAACAAACCTAATCCCTAAGATTAAGTATGTGTGTGGTTAAATGAGTACTTAATAGTCTGCCTTTTCTTTATGATCTCCTTTCTATTTAGGGCCTCAAAACACAAAGTGAAAAGTAATCTTTATGAATCATCTAATGAGAACATAATTATTTTCTATATAGTCCTAATATAAAGGAAGATAATATATTTTGGTCATTTAATATAGTTATAGCCACAACTTGAATGGGAATTGAAATTTTATTTCACTTTTGAAGGTATAATTTTGCAATTCTTTTAGTAAGCAAAAATAATCTTTGTAGTATTTATAAGAAATTAAATAAAATCTCATAATATACATTTCTTAAGACACACACAGTTCATAGCTTTCAGGTGTTAGAGTGAAATATGTTTTCCTACAATTAGTCCAAAAGACTAATGGATCATGTGATCCCCAGCCTCCACAACCCTGCCTGAGACCAGAAGAACTAGGTGGAACCCAGTTACTACTGCTGACTGCTCTGAAACGGACCACAATAGGAGATCCCATATAGAGTGGGAGAAAACTGTAGAACAAAACTCAAAATCATAAGAAAGACCAAGCTTCCTGGTCTGATAAGAGACTGGAAGAACCCCTGACACTTTGACCCTTAAACACCCTTCAAGGAACTGAACTCACCCTGTGGCTCAACTTTCAGCCAAATGATAGTCCTATAAGGTGAACAATAACACCAGGAAGGCACACACTCGTTGGAACAATCAACCATACAAGTTCAAAAGGGCAGCGTTTGCCCAAGGTAAAGTTCCGAAGGCAGGAAGGGATAGGAAAGGAAGGAGGGAAATGGTAAACACAGGGAGGACATAGGAAGAGTACTGTTACATTGTGGGGGTGCAATCAGTGTCATAAAACAAAATGTGTATGAATTGTTGAATGGAGAACCAATTTGCTCTGTGAACTTTCACCCAAATCACAATAAAAAAAAGTGTATGTATATGTGTGTGTGTGTGTGTGTGTAAATATATATGTATATGTGTGTGTGTATGTGTTTTCCTCAATTATTATCATATTTGTTTTTTATACTATTTTCTAGAAAATACACATTTCTAGAATCCATTAGAAGTAGAATCTTTGCCTCAATGATCCCAAATGATCAGAATTAATTTAGGCCTCTCCCTACCTTCCTGCCTTCCCATTTTGACCTCTTCTTCAGGAAGCCAAAATCCTGGTTGCAGACTGGAACCAGAAGATTTCAAAGCCTACATATTATACACATTTTGGACATTTACTTTCTATCAAAGGGTCTAGTCATCAGAAGGAAATAGCTCATGGAATTATGGATTGTGTGTTGTGTGTATGTGTATGTGTGTGAGAGAGAGATTCTTTGCCTTTAGAATTTGGTTTGGTTTTGTTTTTTGCCTTTAGAGCTTGTTCTCTAAATTAACAAGTTAAACTACCTTCTAGCCATGTCTTTGTAATATTGTAATAAAAGCAAGATTTAATGCAAACAAAATGCAGTGGCATTTGTTCAGGAAGTCCTTGCAAACATCAGATTAGTACCCAATCAGGCTACTTTGCCCTGGCCTCTGGCGTGGTACATATTAGTATTCAGTTTGTTGAACAATTCCAATAAAGAATGCAACTAAAGCACTTAGCACAGTGCCTGGCATGTAAGTCTTTTATTCTTGTTATAATTGTTGTTAACAACAATTAAAGGCAGTATCCCAGGACTATAATTCCTTTCACTCAGTATTTACAGTATCTGACTACCTCCCAGATTACCTGCTGAGATAATTTTCTGTAGACAGTGGACCGTTATGACTATCTTGTAAAATAGTAATACCACATTTTCTTAAACTACATTCAAATATGTGGGAAATGGTATCAGAAAGAAGCTCAAAATTCAGTCCCACTGATCCCACATCTTCCCAACTCGGTCTGGCACATACTAAGAAGAACCCAAACCAAAAAACCAAACTCACTGCTGTCGGATCTGACTCATAGCAACTGCTCCTTGGGTTTCCAAGGCAGTATCATTATGGAAGTAGATTGCCCAACCTTCCTTCCGAGGAGTGGTTGGTGGGTTTGAACTACCAGCCTTCTGGTTAGCAGTCAAATGCCTTAGACACTATGCCACCAGAGCTCCCAAGAAGAACCCAGGGGAATCAAAATGAATTTCCTGCCCAGATAAGTTAATTAGCATGTATTAGGATAATCATTATATTTCAACTTAATCTATTAGCAATTATATTTCCACTTGTTCCATTTACCAACTCTTTCTAGTATGCTTCATGACTAAATATATCCTGGTTATTGGACAATGTTTGAAACTTAGCCTTTCTATTTCACTCTTCACTGTTCCCAGAATCTCTTTCCTCCTTATCCCCTACTTGGAATGTGCAAGACTTTCCCTTGGAAAATAGGCTTTATGTTTCTGTAATCTTTAGGACAGCAGATAAACGCACTGCTATCAAGTTGATTCCTACTCATAGCGACCCTGTAGGACAGAGTAGAACTGAGCTATGGCGGTATAGTGATTAAAGCATTCAGCTACTAACCAAAAAGGTCAGTAGTTCAAACCCATCAGCCACTCCACAGGAGAAATAGGAGGCAGTCTGCTTCTGTAAAATGTACAGCCTTGGAAACCCAATAGGGCAGTTCTACTCTGTCCTAAAGCTAGGAGTCAGAATTGACCCAGTGACACTGGGTTACCTTTACAGAAGCAAATCTCCAGGTCTTTTCCTGTTGAACAGCTGAGCGTTCAATCCATCAACCTTTCTGGCCTTACACTAGACCACAGCAAACCCTATCTTTTCCCAACTCAAATAGACTGAACATTCTCTCCATGCACAAAAGTATGTCCTGGCTTTATTTATACAGGGAGCTCTGGTGATGTAGTGCTAAGGCATTTGACTGCTAACCAGAAGGCTGGCAGTTCAAACCCACCAGCCACTCCTCAGAAGGAAGGTTGGGCAACCTACTTCTATAGTGATAATGCCTCAGAAACCCAAAGAGCGGTCACTATGAGTCGGATCTGACTTGAAGGGAGTGTGTTTGGTTTTTTTGGTTTTATTCATACAAATGCAGTTTAGTTAAACTATAAATGCTCACTTGTTTTCAAGCAGATGTGTAAGGGGAAATTAATTTGAGGGGCTTGGTTTACTATAGAATACACTGAACTGGATACTGAAAAACACTTAGAACATAGGATAGTCATTTTGTTCTAAATAAAAAGTTCATCTAGTACTAGTTCATTGAAAGAGCAATTACTACAGTGTTTTCTGCGATGGTACCACTGGACCACAAGGAAGTCAGTCAGTTGGAATTCAGGAGTACCTGATCCTATGTTGGCTGCACCACTACCAGACCTTACACCACGCAGGGCTGTAGTCGATGACGATGAGGCATTTTTTTAAGCAAAGTAAATAAATTGAAAAAGTATTTAGTGACTAGCAATTACACTCTAGAACCAATTCAAAATTGTCTTTAATCAAGAAAGTTTATGACAAGGACAAAAAAAACTCAATCAGTTTACACAAAAACGAAAGGAGCTGACTAGCCTCATGAACGACTTTTGCCCAGAGTCCAGACTTCTTATGGTATCCATAAGACCAGGAATTTTGCTAAGCATCTGAATGGCTAGGTATTTCAAAGACTTCCCTCCAAGATGCCCAGTGAATTTAATTCGGTCCAGTTTGTGTGTGTTGTGCCGAGTAAGCAGGAGAGACCTGGATCTGGGGCTGGCCCACAGCAGTTTGTAATCTGCCAGTCAGATGGCTTATTGAGATTTGGGTTTGAAAGGGAAGCTTCATGACATAACTTAAGATACCTTAGGAAATTTGCCATTTTAGCTGTAGGGCCATGAAGTTGTTTCTTCTTGATACTTTGATTTACATGCCTTTGAAAATGTATGGCAAAAAAAAAAAAAAAATGTGCTTGGGATTGAAAAACATTGTATGATGGAAAAATAATGAGACATTTTAAAGTATGTTTCTTACAGAAACTATTCTCATTATTTCATAGTCATACCATATATAGTCATTTACAGAAGCTATTCTATCAATTCCTAGATAGAAAAGAGTGTTGAAAAGGAAAATTCTGGAACAGGACTCCAACACTAACAATCATGAGACATGTTTATTTTGGCCTGGTAAATGTAGACATTAAACAGATTTCCCATAGCTTCTGTGGATTATGATCATAATCACAGTTAATCTTTTAAACTCTTCCTTTAGCTCTCCTCCCTTAAGCACCCTGAGCGCCCATACCTTTGTCACATGCAGGCTTCTTTGGAGGCCAGAAGCTTACCTGGTCTTGTTTTTTTCTACTTTAATTTCTAGTTCTATCCTGAGCACTTAGTTTAGATAGCCCCCACAAGGATTTAACTTCTGCCCCTTCCTAGATGACAGGAAAAATACATCCCTGTGTTTTGTTTTTCTTCATTGCACTAGCTATTTTTGGCTGTTTAATTTCTAAACTGTTCTATGTACATAAACAGGATGTATATTTTTTAGAAGGAGCTCTGGTGGCACAGTGCCTAAGGCATCTGACTGCTAACCAGAAGGTTGGTGGTTCAAACCCATCAGCCACTCTGTGGAAGGAAGATTGGGCAGTCTACTTCTGTAAAGATTTACCACCTCAGAAACCCAATGGAGGTCGCTGTGAGTCGGAATCCACTTGATGGCAGTGGGTTAGGTTTGGTTTAGTATGTTTTGTTAGTTGATTGCTTAGAAACAGATAACCCAGTTGAAAGTTTAGTGCATCTTTGCGCTGTTGAAGTTGAATGCCCAAAGCTATTCCACAAATAATTGAGTATCCTCTAATACCCATAAAGCAAGGGGCAAGAGTTGAAAGCAACTAGAAATTCCTCCTGAAGCATCCTAAGCACTGTAAAATCCAGATTATCTTCTGCTCGATGTTTTTTGTTGGTGGTGGATTTATCTTATATCATTTTGTCTTGTGGTAAATATAAATACAGGGAGCAGTAGCAGTTCAGCGGTAGAATAATCACCTTCCGTGCAGGAGACCTGGGTTCACTTCCTGGCCAGTGCA